GTCAACTCATTGCAAGGACGGCAGAAGTGATAGTTGGGTGTGTTTTGTGATTTTTGCTGCTTCTCAGTTTAAACCAATATTGTTCTTCATAATTAAATTAGAGTTCTTCAGAGTATCAGTGCTGCTTAAATGTGATGTTATAGTTATAAGTGAGCCTGGTGGGCTCAGCCCGCCCCTGGGAACCCCTCATAATGGGCTCAGCAGATGTACAGACCAGGGAACTCAGTACAGGCATGGTGGGAGAACCTCATAATGGGCACAGCAGATGAAAAGACATGGGAACTCAGCATAGGGATGGTGAGAACTCCTCATAATGGGTACAGCGGGTGTACATAACCAGAAACTCAGCACAGGGATGGTGGGATCCCCTCATAATGGACACAGCAGGTGTACAGACTCGGGACCTCAGCACAGGGATGGTGGGAACCCTTCATAACTGACACATCAGGTGTGCAGACCTGGGAACTCAGCACATGGATGGTGAGAGCCCCTCATAATGGGCACAGCAGGTGTGCAGACCTGGGAACTCAGCAAAGGATGATGAGAACCCCTCCTAATGGGCACGACAGGTATACAGACCTGGGAACTTAATACAGGGATGGTGTGAACTGCTCATAATGGGCACAGTGGGTGTGTAGACCTGGGAACTCAGTACAGGGATGATGAGAACCCCCCATAGCAGGCACAGCGGATGTATAGACCTGGGAACTCAGCACAAGGATGGTGAGAACCCCTCATAATAGGCGCAGCAGGTATATAGACCCGGAAACTCAGCAAAGGGAAGGTAGGAACCCCTCATAATGTGCTGTGCAGAGCCAGAAACTCAACACATGGATGGTGGGGCCACAGTAGGTGTGCAGACATAGGTGCAGGTGTATTCCCAAGAGATAGAAGAAAGGCTCAGGTGGTTTAACTCTCCAGCATGTACTTGATGCTGAAAGGTTTTTAGGTGAGGTGACCCTATGCTGCAACTGAACTATGCAGCTTGTAGTGCAGTCATGGAATGTAGGACAGGCAGGTCGGAAACTGCATAACCTTAGACTGTCATCGGTCCCCATGATGACTCAACCATGACACAGTGTCTGTCTGGGTAGTAGGGTGTGGGAGATTGCCTGTGGCATTTAAGTGGCATTTATTGACAATATTTCAGGCAATCATAAGGGACCGGTCTGATCTGAAGCAACCTCCTGACCCTGAAATTTACTTGTCTTGATGCATTTTGAAAGCATGCAGTCACGTGGACAGGAGACAGGAACTCCAGCCTATATCATTCAGCAAAAATTAGTTCCTGAGTCAATCAAATTCATTCTCTCCTTGTGTCATAACGCCATTAAAAATGTAACCTAATACACACACACACACATATATATGTGTGTGTGTGTAACATTTTTGAGTTATTCAAACCATAGGTAGTTTACGAATTCTTTACTGCGCATGTATTAAAATTCAACATCTTAGCAACTTATGCACAGCAGTTTCATTCCACCAGGACTATTCCAGCAGTCGCAAGACACATTACGAATGTGGCTGCAACAATGATTTTCTATGATTTTAAAGTTGGCTTGGACGAAGAACACTGTATGCAGAGGTTACACTCTGCATTTGGGGATGAAGCACCCTCGCGGGCAACTATCTTCTGATGGTTTAGAGAATTTAGAAGGGACCGTAGTTTGCTACAGGATGACGAACATACGGGAAGGCCCGCTACGGCAGTCACTACAGAAAACGTGGCCCATGTCCAGAAAATGATAAATGAGGAGGATATCCGCTCTCGTTGCAGCTCCATGACTCGTCACTTCGCAATGTGTCTTGCGGCTGATGGAATAGTCCTGGCGGAATGAAACTGCTGTGCATAAGTTGCTAAGATGTTGAATTTTCACACATGCGCAGTAAAGAATTTGTAAAAATACATATGTTTTGAAAATCTAAAAAAATGGCATTTTTTCTGGTAGGAGTCTCCACCATCTGGTCCATGAAATTGTCGCGCAACATGTTTAGAAATCGCCCCGCCTTTGCCGAACCCGAAGTTCCATTGGCCCAATTGATGTCTGGGTAATTGAAGTCACCCATCAAGACTACATTGCCCTCTCTTCCAGCTATTCCTATCTGTGTATCTGCTGAAGGAGTAAAGGTGCCCATACACCTTGCGATTATCGTACGATAATCGCAAGGTGTATGGAAGGCATGCAACCATTTTGGCCTTTCGATGATCGCAAGTACGATCTGCCTGTCCAAGATGGGCAGATCGTACAAGCTTTTAATTAGCTTACAACCCTCGCAAGACAAAAGTCTTTAGTCATCACTCTGCTCCATCTGCTCTTTTTTCTCGTCAGAAGTCTCCCAGTGTTAAAGTGCCCATACACCTGCCGATTATCGTACGATAATCGCGGGTGATCAGGCGATCATACGATAATCGGCAGGTGTATGGGCAGCGCCGTGTGACCGCATCTACTGTACGGTCGCACGACTTTCCTCTTACGAGCACGCTGGAAAACCTGCCGAAAATGGTACGATTTTGGGGGGGTTGGTGGCGTGGTCGGAAGACGAAAGCCCCCCCGTGAGTGCAGATGCGCGTGTGGTGGGTTCAGGGAAACCAATATAACTACATAAGCTAGGTATTCCTACTAACTGTTGTTATAACAATGTTTAGTAATTTTTTGGGGAATATATAAATGGACCTGAATAGGAGGAATACAAGTTTGCACGTTCATTGTAAAAACGTATTTCAGAAATAAAAAGTGTTTAAGGTTCAGATGGAAAGCAAGCTAACCTGATCGGAAATCTTAAATCAGAATACAATTAAGATATTTTAAAAAACTGATTGCAGTAATATCTTTATTCAAAGTAATATTTAAATGCAGCTAGTGGAAGTATGTGAGTCTATCTTTATATTTGCCTCCTCTCCTAACCTGCACAATAGCATTTGGACTTAGAGAAGCAAGGACAGCACTTATAACCAGGAGGAGAGAGCAGACTAAAGCTGGCCATACACTGCTCGAATTCTCCAAGTCCAAGTCCTAGTGATAGTGCCGAAATTCAAGCAGTGCGTGGGCCCTTTGCCACTCCTCCGTTCCACAAAAGTTGATTGTTCAATTGACTTTTCTTAAAAAAGCAAGTCCGAAAATTCTCGGCCTGACAGTGACTGCAGCCAATCAGCTCAATCACTACAGACATTTAGTAACATGGACAGAAGGAAGAATAAATGGACTACAAGTGTCAGCGCACTTATATTCCTTTGAGAACTACAAGTGCCTCTGCTGCGGTGGCTGATGGGAGTTTTAGCTGCTCCATTCACAGATCCTGTCAAAGGACACGGCTGTGTAGATGGATCAATACGCAGCTGTGCGGAATTTAAAAAAAAGAGCAGCAGCCTGAGAAGACAAGAACCATGCGATTCAGGTAAGTGGTGGTGGTGAGGGGGTTGGGATGTGACCATATTCAAGGTGTAACATGCAACATGGTCCAAGAGGTAAACTTACCCTTCAAACAAGAACAATGATTGTGATTGGCTCCTATAAAACTAGTTTTAATATTGTTTATTTTATTGCTTGCCACTACTGACCCCTAGTGGTAAAATGTATAACTGCAGCCTGATGAAATTACAACTTTCTATTTCTGTGTATGTCCATTGGGCCTCAAAAGTTTGCTTTTAAGCCGAAAATATTTTTTAGGTTTGGATGGAGTGTGGAAGGATTAGAATCCTGTCAGCTTTTTATTGCTATATGTGTTCCCACTGGGGTGATCAGCCTCTCTATTTGTCCTGGTGTCCCCAGGACAAGAAGTGATGGGAAATCCAACATTTTCCTTTGCTGTTGGGGCAGGAAGTGAGGAGAAATCTTCCAATCGGCAAATCTGACATGATGGGGGTCGTAACCATTTCCTACTGTGTCCAAAACCTCAAAACATAATTCTTTAGATCAGGGGCATCCCGAGGCCGGGTGTCACCTGGAGCGGGTACCGGGTGACACCCCGCCGTGGCGTCATCGTGCATGCTCATGACGTCACCACGCACGTGTGCTTCCATATTGGTGAAATCTTGGTGATGGACGCTGGCAGAGAGGAGGGGATGTTCATCCGGTGGGATAAGGAGGGGATGTTCACCCGACGGGTCCCCTCCTCTCTCCTGCAACTGTCGAGCTCTCGGTCAATGACCGAGTGCCTGTCTTTTCAAAGGGGGTGACACCAAAATGGGACAGGTGAGGAGTAGGCAGCCTGGGATCACGTGGTCCTGCACAATGCGGGCAGCAATTGACGCACGGCCCCATTGATTTTAGTGCCTTTTTGCACAATCCGCCCGGCGCGACTGGGGTGCCATTAGAAAATAATGGCACCCACAGCACACGATCAGTTCACACCTAAGTGACTCCTGACCGCGTTGCAATCAAACGCAAGAATCGCCCGGTGTTGTGTCGCCTAGGTGTGACCCTAGCCTGAAGCCTTTACCCCCTTGCACTAAAATCACAGCAGCATGCAGCGTGCTGGTATAAAATCATTTTACATTCCTGAGTTAAACAAACTTGTTTTTCATTTACTTACAAATAGAGTTCATCTACTTCCTGGTCCAGTTCGGGCACCAATTATGTAACTGTGCCAAAGCGTTGCATCCTGGGAAGGTTCAGCAGAGCATTGCTGGGAAACCTCATCTGGAAATGTATTTTCCTCCCGAGATGATGTGCATGGTCACATGTCTAGTCACATGTGCCAGCGTTTCAGGAAGTAAATATGGAGAGCTAGTAATCTGCCCTTGGTAAACATGGCCACTGACCGGGGAAGAAAAGGGAAATAAGGATTGCAAAGAATACAAAGCCGGCACTTATCTAGAAGTATGTGATTGTAGATTGTCATTACTAAACATTTCTAAAGGTGTGTTTGTTGTTATTTTGAAGATATGGGTAAAGGTCCGTTTCAAGGTTTTACGTGCACCTGCAGTGTTTGCTGGATAGATTTGGTAGTTTGCAGATTCATGGCACTAGTTAATGACACGGTGAACTCTGTTGCAGGCCGGGGGGAATCCAAGAGATCGGTGGAGACGATCGCCCTTCAATCTCAACCATTATGCCACCAAGAAGAGCCTGGCGGAAAGCATGCTGGACGTGGCGCTCTTTATGGCGAACGCCACTCAGCTGAAGGCGGTTCTTGAGCAGGGGCCGAGCTTCACCTACTATGTCACCCTCATCACCCTCATCAGTCTGTCGCTGGCTCTGCAGCTGGTCATCGGAATCCTTCTCATTGTCATCGGTAAGAGATCGGAGTGGCTGCCTGGGGATGCATGGCGGTTAAAGCCCAACTCCACTCTTTGGTTTGGATCGCATGGGGAAGGGTTATCACTGGGGAGATTTCCCATCCAGGTTACAAGGAGTACTCAGGCAGGGGGCTGTGATGTTTTCAGAAATCTACGTACAGCACCCTGCTGGCCCCTCCCACCAGCCATGATCTGCCTGCATTGCATTGAGAAGCAGCAGAACCCAGTGATGACATCACTTGGTCAAAAATAAAGTATGTCATGATAAGGGAAAGGTTTTATTTCAAAGTTTCATTAGCATGTTGATGAGGTGGAGGAGGAGCCAGGGAAGGTGAAATAAAAGCAGATTAAACTACAGTTGGAATAGATATACGGGGACTGCCAAAATAATGTGTAATTATGATCCTGCCATTAAGATCCTAGTTCAGGCACTTCCTGTTATAAGGTGACAACACTCTGTCCTCATCTCCCAATTGCGCTCCTGTGTTGTCACCCTGTCACATGGGTGACAAGTAGTCATTTCAATACACATTGCACAGACATGGTCCACTGAAGTCACCATTGGGAATCCGCCATAAGAAATGCCATGCAGCCATCGCTGGAGTGCATGTGGATAGGAAGTGGCCTGAAAGAGGCTGCAGGAGATCATCAGTACTGAGATGTAACAAAGAAGAAAGCAAAGGCGGAAAAACCCATTATTTTATTGAGGAAAAAATGGCAGCTGTTTATGATCCACTGAATATCATTCATTGAAGGTTTAGATGTACTTTGTGTTCTGACCTCTTTTTTGTGTAGTCTTACCAACTCTCCTTCTCTATTTTGTGTCCCCCTTCCCCCAGCTCGGAGGAATCTGAACGACGTTTCCAAGCAGCAGACTCTGGATGTGATAAATAATGTGGCCACCGCGCTTGTGTTTATCACCCTTCTCATCAACATCTTTATCACAGCGTTCGGGGTGCAGAAGACGGGCCTGTACCCTTCCAGGGGGCCGCGGGAGGTGCAATGAGAGCACACACAGGTATCGAGTGGGAAGGGGGGATGGGAAAAAAAAGGGTCACCAACCCGAGGAGGCACTTGGTCCCTGTTCACACATAGACATATGGAGAATATGAGGGCTATTCACAAAGGGTGAAGAGTCTGGAGAAGTGAACAATCTAGGCCAGAATAGCTGATTTGAAAAAATTCTCCAATTCAGCTCACTTTCCAGTTCAGCTATGTTGTCCTAGATTGTTCCCTTCTCCTGCCTTCTCCAAACTCTTCACACTTCTGTGAATAACCCTGTATGTGTCTAACGTGCACAAAAGTGCGGACTGTGACGTGTCTTCACCAAACGCGCAACACGTTTGTGGTCCCATTACTAGTTAATGGCACCCCAAACGTGTCCGCGCAAACGCAGAGCACGTCACAGATTTGCTACATGAGCTACTTTCCCCACATTTGATGCATGTGCGGCCCCCATTGAAATCAACAGGGATGAGCGCCAAATGCGGGGAAAAAACTGCAATACGCATTCCTGGTACGCCTATGTGTGAACAGGGCCTTAGTGTCCCATTCACATCTAGGCGTAGCGGGAACACGTGTGTATGTGCATGTTTGCACACATTTTTCCCTCCGTCTGACGCACTTCCCCAATAATTTCGATGAGTGCAGCATGGCCGTCAAATGTGGGAAAAATAGCTCATGTAGTAAATCTGACGTGTGTTCCGCACTTTTTTTCTGCACGTTTGTACGTGTTTTAATGCGCACCAATAGATAGGAGAAAATTGAGTTTTCACGGCTGCATTTGGGGTGCAAGTTGACCAATTTTTTACATGTCAAAGGGGGACACAGGAACCGCAGGGACACAGACGGCTATAACAACCCAACAATTGAACACATATTCTGCCTTAAAGCTGAACTCCATCCTTCCCTTCAGTCTTACACAGTTGTAGCAGCTCCTCACCTGGACGGAAATTGCTTCCTCAGATTTCACTGCACACTGTGAGCTTCTCATCATGTGCATTAGAATCTGCAGCAAGTCAGATAGAGCCCATCTCATGTCCTCGCTGGAGGACATCCCCGTCATTTGGCCCTTTCCTCCTACATTCTTTCTGTCCTTGGCCCGCCCCTTTCATTCATTGGATTTCAGTTCTTTCAATCACTGAGGCTCAGCATCACATGTGGGCCTCACCAAGGCCAGTCTGCCTGCAAATACAGTCTGTCTAGGAACTCCCACTGCTTCAGAATGCCATTCACTCATCAAGGCATCGTGATATTTTATAAAACTGCTCCAAAGAGCCGGCCCATTGCTTCCATCAGTGCTGAGGGCTCTTGAGAGAAGTACTGAGGCCGATTCCTCTGATGTTTTCAGAAAGCTATGTACAGCACCCTGCCGGCCCCTCCCACCAGCGACCCAGCGATTGCATCACTGGGTCTAAAATAAAGTCTATGTGACTTGCTGCAGATTCTAATGCACATTGTGAGAAGCAGTGATATCAGAGAAAGCAAACAGGAGAGGAGCCGGTACAGCTGTGCAAGACTGAAGGGACAGCCGCAGCCCGCAGTTCAGTTTTAAAGGTATCAAAATGAATTTGCTGCCGTTAGTTGTCACTAAGGTTGTTCACATGCTTTGGAGCAATTGTAAAGTTCCTGAACAGTTAAAGTGTTTCTAAAACCAAAACCTTTTTGTTTACTTTTGGATGGAGTGGGGAAGTGTTGGGGAGGTTCACCTTCTTATCTTTCCTGGCGATTGTTGTCATTGGGGAGAAAACTGATTGGAAAATCCAAAATGTCATGGAACAGGAGGTGAGGAGAAATCTTCAAATGGGGCACCTGTTCTGGTGATGGTTGTCTAAGAGGTTTGAAGAGATCTTCTCTCTCTTCCTGTTGCGTCTCCTGGACAGGAAGCAGATATCTTTCCCTCTTGTTTTTCTGCTCTCTCTTGTTTTTCTTTATTTTCCAACATTGGGGCCGCTGACCGCCGAGTAAAAAAACAACAAAAAACCCAGCATGGAAATAAATAGCTCGATTGCTATTTGCTATTTCAATTTACAATAGCAGGCTGGCTTTTGTTCCCTCCCTTTACTGCTGTCAATCAGCAGAGGTGGACCTGAAGTTCTCCATCACATCCTCCTCTGCTGATTGACAGCAGCAGTGGGCGGTGCAATAGCTAGCCTGCTATTGTCTATTGTAGGATTGAAATAGCCAATAGCAATATAGCTATTCAGTCCTATACTGTCGGTTGTTCTTTTTTTACTCTGACGACAGGAGCTGTCAGAATACATAAAAAACCCCAGCAGATATCAAGGGAAGCATTAGCTCCTCTGCTACCTTCCAGCATTTCAGGGAGGTGCCCCCATTCACCCCACCCCCCCCCCCTGTGTGGGGGGGGGGGGGGCACCTCCCTGAAATGAGAGGGCACCTGCTGAAAAAAAATTATTTCAGGTTGGGATGCCTGAGGAAGTGAAGGGTAATCTTTCCAACAGGTCACAGAAATAGAAAAATAATGTATTCTTCCCTATTCCCTACAAAAAAATGTACCTTCTCTCTGTTTTAGATCTACCCCCCGATGTTCCTGTCCTCCCTCCTGGATCTGATCTTCTAACAATCCATCAACTACAAATGTTCACAGTTCTCATTACTATTATAAATATTATTAAATAGACTTAACGAGTGTGTGGCTTCTTCTTCATTAACTATTATTTTGTAGTGTTCATTGCAATCCAAAAAAAAACAACCGTTTGGTTTTGTATTTCATCTGTGCTCCATAAACATATTTCAACTCAGCCAATACCTAAAAGTGATATTAAAGTCAAAAGGTTTTTAAGTCTGTGAAGCTTCTCATTCATCCAGGTCATGGTATATCTGTAAAAAATAAGTCAAGGCAACTGGACTTGCTGCATTTTTCCTTAAAGACGTTTCACTGGACATCCGACCAGCTTTCTCAATTCAGAAAGCTGGTCGGACGACCAGTGAAACGTCTTCAAGAAAAATACAGCAAGTCCAGTTGCCTTGACTTTTTTTTCCAGATAAAAGGTTTTTAAGTTATTTCAAATGCTGATGAAATCACTTACAATGGATGCTGCTCCTTGACGTTTAAAGGTTTTAGTTTCCTACAGGATCATCCGGTCCCCTGTGTGCTGACCCAGCTATCCTGTCTTCGGGTGGCTCCTTTTTCTTGAATGCTCCTATGGAGCCACCCTTGTGTGTACTAGTAAGCTGTGTGTGTCTCTACATACAAATAGACACAGCAAGGCAAGACACTCCCCTGCTCCCCTCTTCTCCATGCTAGTAGATGTACAGCTGCTGGAGACTGTGCTCTTCCTTGTGATCTTGTACAGCACAGGAAGTTCAGGGCAGCCGAGCTGAGAGAGCTGGAGACAACCAATTGAAAACAGAACTGTAAGTGCTTGAGCAAAATGTAAAGAAATACTTTGCTGCGCATTGCATACTTGTTTTATACACATTCATTGTTGAATGAATACTACCTTAAATCTGTCTTCATAATGAGTTGTCCCATGGCAGATGAAAATCAAAATTAGGCTTTCAGGAAGGGAAGGGAATTGGGTGGTCTATCAATAGGGAGAGAACACAGGGAGGACGTCAATGATGTAGTGATATGCACTATTAGCCCAATAAGCAGGCTGGAAGTGGCGTGTGCACTTATACACACTAATACACACACAATCACATATATACACACATATACTGAGACAAACACACACACGTATGCACACATATACTGAGACACATATATTGAGACACACACATTCACTGAGACACACACACACATACTGAGACACACACACATACCCTGTTTCCCTGAAAATAACACCTACCCTGAAAATAAGACCTAGTACTATTTTTGGGAATTGCTAAAATATAAGACCTACCCCCAAAATAAGACCCAGTTGTGACCATTCCCAGGGCCGGCGGTGGCATAAGGGGGAACTTGAAGAGCCGCGGGAGAGAATCAGCGGTGCCAATGAAACCAGCGCTAGTGGAAGCGAGGCGGCAGCACAGGGAGCAGAGCCGCATTAGCTGAGGGCTCCTCTATAGCGCCGACTCCTGTCACAGGCGGAGCGATACCAAATGCACTCCGCCTGTGAGGAATCTATAGTGAAAGTGCGCTTCGCTTTTTCTGGTTACCAAATTGCTCTTGGAAAGATATGGCACCCCTGATTGCCCTGATCACCATATTCTTAACTTTGCCATTTTGGATTATTTAATTTGGATTTCCATTAAATTTGGATTGTTATATGTTAAAAAAAAAAAAAAATAAGACCTACCCCGAAAATGAGACCTAGTGTGTTTTTTTGAGCCAAAAAAAATATAAGACAGTGTCTTATTTTCGGGGAAACACAGTACATATACGGAGACACACAATCACATATATACACACACATATACTGAGACACACACATACACACATATACTGAGACACATAGACACCTATACTGAGACACATACACACATAGTGAGACACAGACATATTTTAGATTGTAAGCCCTCAGGGGCAGGGCCCTCCTTACCATCTTGTCTTGAATTGTATTGTGATTGTAATGTCTTCCCTATATTGTAAAGCGCTGCGCAAACTGTTGGCGCTATATAAATCCTGTATAATAATAATAATATACAGATACACACACATACACACACACATACTGAGACATACACATTTACTGATACACCCACATACACTGAGACACACACACACACACACACATATACGGAGACACACACACAATCACATATATACACACACATATACTGAGACACACACATACACACATACCGTATATACTCGAGTATAAGCCGTCCCGAATATAAGCCGAGGAACACATAGACACCTATACTGAGACACATACACACATACTGAGACACAGACTGAGACGCACACACACACACACACACACACACACATACAGAGACACACATATATACAGATACACACACACACACACACACACATATACTGATACTGATACACACACAATCACATATCTCTACACACATATACTGAGACACACACAATCATACACACCTATACTGATACACACACACAAAATGGGATATAATAAAAAATGATGTGTATATTTACTACTAAAACACATTTTTGAAAAAAACTAATATTTATTGAGGTTAACCATGAACTATCACATATGAATCTTCTATTTAGGTAGACTGACACAACGGCGACTGCTGTGAATGTGAAACAGACTTCAAGAGCAGGGAGATCACAATACACACACTGCAGACTGACTGACACAAGAAGGACACTCTCGTCTTTCTCCTCTAAACTAATCTTGTCAGTTTGCTCTGCTTGCTCTATATTTCACATGGCCCTTCCAAGAATCCAGGCAATGCTGGGCTTTGTTATTGGGAAAACCCTGTAGGCTTTCTGAGTAGTGTCTCCTGCTCTAAATGTGTATTTGTACAATAACCTTTTTATATAAATAATGAGAAGAATGATGTAAAACATCGATATATAAACTTTAAATAAACTTTAAATAAAAACGTCAAATAAAATTGACTAAAAAAGTCACATGTTTCCCCAGCAGATGGGTGGAGTCTGAAGAAGCCACTCCATCCTTCTCTTCACATTTCAGCACTGGGTGCAGGGGCTGCCATTGTCAGTCTGCTATTAAAACCAACTGGTGTGCTGATAAATTAAATGTACATTTTACAATTATCGTTTAAAAATAGTTTTACCCATTTTTTTCTGGACAAATTCTCATATAAAAACTCTACTTTAAAGGCACGGATTGTGATTAAGGATGAATGAAACTGAAATTTTGGGGGAAATTTTGTGCATTTCAGCAAAATGCACAGAGGTTAAGGGGAAGGCAAAATTAAGGTCGTTTTTGAGAGTGCAATGGTTTTGGATTTTTTTTTACCTTATACTTTTTCCTTATATTTGACTTTTTTTTTCACAGTTAGAAAAAGTTGTAGAAAAAGTAAAGTAAAAAAATGTAAGCAACTGATGTTTTAATTTCTTTCTTTTTTTTCATTTTTTTTCTTCTGCGGGAAAAAAAAAAGTGTAAAACACAAATCAAATAAGGAAAAATAAAAAGATATAAAATACACAAAAAAATAAGGAAAGGAACACAAATGCAAAATGGGAAGATTTTCTTAATAGGTATGCACCCAGCAAAAATAGTTTTTTTATTCAGTTGTGGATAGTGTGGGGAAGAATTAGAACCCCTGTTTGTTTGTTTTTATGCTATCTAGGGCTGCATTATAGAGATTTCCAATTTTTACTGTTTTGGTAACAATGGTTTCACCAGACAGCAAGTGAGAAAACCGCATAACAGGCAGAAATCATTTCTCCTATGCCAATATAGTGAGAACAGAGGTTCATTTTGCTGAAATTTTAGTTAGGGCAAAAACAGTAATTTTGCATTAGTTTAAAAGAAATCACTCCACTCATCCCTAGTTGTAGCAATGGATACACACCCGGATGCTGTCTACCTACATACACTCCTCGTCTACTGGTCCGAGTCATGTCAAAATAAGTGCATAGCATTCATACAAATGGTAGAAGAGGTTATCTATATTATCTATACTGATGTACAATATGTAACTATCTATATCTTGGTTCAGGTAGGTTGTGACATCACCCATGCTAACTACTACACCAGGGCAATCTACAGACATCCACCTGCCCAGGCACTACAAACCCCTGGCATACCATAATGCTGGGACTTGTAGCTTCTCAGCAGTGCAAAGGCCACTAACTCTCCAACACTGCTATCATAAAGATATGTTAAAAATGCCCCTACTTTAAAATAAAGGCAATTTAATAAATAAATAAAAAATCCTCATCACTAGTAAGGCACTTTGTCCAGTCAATAAATACTCATTATAATGATGTACGCAAACATTCCCAGATAACATCCTGGGGCTAACAAGACCGTAGCACCCTTGACTCCACTTATTGGCGTCCAAACTTCACACATTTGGTGTCCTTCACTGTAAAATGTTTACCCATCTGTGACTATGAAAAGTTTTATCCACTTCGGAGGGCCCTTCAGGGCTGTTCTTGCTTGTGACCTTTGTCAGGCTTAAGATAGACCTGTCATTAGAGAAATATAGAAGCTATCTCCTTCTGAAATTGCTAATTGTTTGGCTGTTATGCTGACCTGGTCTTTGCTGACCTACTTCTGAAAATGCTGTCCTCTGGCTTTAATACCTTTGCATTTTGGTCTACTGCTATGTATAGGGGTTCCCCTGATGACCCCTCCGAATCACTACTGGGTAGGGAGTCGCTGGGACAAATGACTGAGCAAAGCGTGGAAGCAAAAGATCGACACTCATGGAAGTGTTGGTTTCTTAACAGACGTCGGGGGATGAATCCTTTTCATCAGAGCAGTGTTCGGTGGCATATGCAGCTGAAGAGGTAGGTATGTACCTTTTTCTTTACAATGATATGTTCAATGAGTAGCAAATGGGTCAGCGTAACTTACAAGCAACTAGCTTTTTAAGTAGGATAACTTAGTAATGGCAGCCTCCATTTCAAAACAGGTTTCCTTTAAACAGCCTTGACTAAGGTCCTAAAATAAATAGGATAAAAGCTTTTGATAAATCATTTACAACATTGTCCCTCACTGGTGGGACTATTCCAAGTGCCACAGACATAGAAAGACGTCCTGTCTCTGTAAGAGAGCTCTCAGAATTGGGTGATCCTTCTGAGAATCCCCCCAGAGATGACTGTTCTCAGTGCAATATACTTAGTAACGTTGCCCATCTCTGGTCTGTCGACTGTTCCACATGCCGCGCTTGGAATGGAAATGGTGGTAGAAGTTTCGGACTGCCAAGCGCTCTACCTCCAGCCCGGCTTGAAGAATCCTGAGAGAGAGAGACTACAGGGGTCAGAGTAAGAACTCATAACTTAGTTTATGTAAAACTATGAATCACTTCTTTATATTTGCAGAAATGTATCTAAAGCACCATATTTGAAGGTTCTAATTTATCCAGGTCATGGTATAGCTAACAGTAATGAGTCACATTCAACTGAACATGTTTTGTAATGTCAAAGACAATGTCGAAGTTGTTCTAATGAACTAGGATGCCATTTGGATGATTACATAACAACATAACAGAACAAGTCCAGCTGAATGAGACTAACCACTGCTAGCAATCTAAAGCATCGTTGAAAATATTTTACATTCATTTCTCAGGGTCACTTTTCTACTGGACTAGTTGAGTTCCTTCTACAACATGTAAGACCACTCAACTATCCATTTCGTAAATCTATAAACCAGGAAAAAAGTTCTGCAAAAGTAAAAATGTGAAATAACTTAAACACTTATTCGATGTGTGAATGAAAGAAGGTCTTTTTAGGTGAAAACTGAAAATCACAGAGCTTTACCAAGGGCTAGTAGGTAACTATGGGCTGGTATATAAGCATGTGTAGTCAATACTACTGGCACCCATTAGGGCCATGTTCACAGCTAGGTGTTGCATTAACTGTTACATCAACCAATATAAAATCTAACTATGGGCTGTTATATAAGCATGCATAGTCAATACTACTGGCGCTCATTAGGGCCATGTTCACAGCTGGCTGTTGGGGTTTTCAGGTGTTGTTATTAAAATCCCTTAGAGCGGTTTTATGCTCATTTTTTAGCGTTTTGCAGGCGTTCAGCTCTAGGCATTTTTCTGTTTGGCCCAATGGAAAGCAGAAGCATCTGTGACATCATGCAAAACACCCAGAAAGGCATTTCAATTAAAGTCTATGGGAACAAAAATGAGCAAATCTACCTGAAAAGAAGCTCATGCACTTTTTCAAGATACAGTTGTGTTGCTACAAGTGACAGAACACTCAGATGTGCACAGGAGCCATAAAAAAACAATGGTATTCAAGCTACAAAATGCCTAGGTGTAAACAGGACCTAACTCTTGAATGTAAGGCCTCATTCACACTGGAATCGGCCGGCATGTACAGCTCCGTCCTCCGTGCAGGGCCGTATCAAGCAGCTCCCGGGACGGACAGGTGCTGCGTGTGATTAGTACGCAGCCCCTGTCCTTCTCTATGGGACTACGCAGCCGTATTCCCCTACGCTCACCTCAAGTGCAAGTCCGTAGAGGTGCGTGTTTCCTGGCTCGGACGCAGACAGGATCCATCCTGTCAGCGTACGAGTACGCTCAACCGCAAGGCCGTGCTGGGCGTACGGCCGCGTAGTCCCATAGAGAAGGACAGGGGCTGCGTACTAATCACACGCAGCACCTGTCCGTCCCGGGAGCTGCTTGATACGGCCCTGCACGCAGCACGGAGCTGTACGCGCCGGCCGATTCCCGTGTGAATGAGGCCTAAGTGTTTTGCGCCTTCTTCGCAAGAGTGATACAGGAGACTCATTGCATTTTTTTGTTACACACTACAAAGTGCTTTGGCAAATTGTAGAGATCAATCTGTCTTAGTCTCTTGACAGTAAAGGAAGGAATAGTTCAGATTTTTATTTTAAAAGACCATTTAGGCGACATTGGTTTGTCAGGTGATCTCAGTTAGTAAATGGTGGTGATCACCAGCTTGGCGTTGATGCGTTCTGAGAAGACTATACCAGAATGTTGCAGTTCACTGTGCATTGGCACAGCTGCTTGTAATCCACTTTAGGAGTATGCTGTACACATAACAGGGAGCCAACACTGCAGCTGAACTGATAAGCAATGTCAGCCTAGGAAATGGAATGCCTGTGGGTACACTTTGCTTGTATAATTTAAATGAAAAAAGGACATATAAAAGAAAGGACTCAACTTTTCAAAATTACAGGTACATGCGCAACAACATATTGCTTGTGTTAATTGTTAGAGTTTAGGTTTAGATACACTTTAAAATCCAAATTGCAGGCCATAGCCCTGCCACTAGTGGACGTCAATATGCTCATGTTGCTAATATTTCAGGGCTTTCCTGTATTGTCCCCCATCTCAATAGATCCAAATTCAAGCCCCCTTACCGGTCTAGGAGTTCCCAGTCTTCTCCTCCCCATCGTTCCCGAAATTCTTCTGTATTCATCCCTCCAATACGTTCCAGATCTGATTTATATATACCCAGCAGTCCAAATCCATTTACCTCCCAAAAACCTGTGAGGAATCACAAAGACAGCGTTTCCTGAGAAGGTGAAACAGTCTATCAATAATGTAACTGGCTCAGTGTTCTCTGAGGAACATGCCAGTTATATAAATGTATAATAATAATAATGTGTTACTGGGGTGGGACATTAGAGTATAAGCTCCGGTTTGAAGACTGATGAATGGTTCGGTTCCCTGCTCCATCCATATTAAAGAAAACATTTTGGCTGTAGTTAGGTTTCAAAGATTATTACAAAAACAGAATTTCCAAATTGCCCAACTGGAGATTTATTCGATTATCTTTGCTGAGATTATCCTTTGACATTAACCAGTGGGAGATATTCCGCAGACACAACACATTCCCTGATATCTCACATTTGACCCTCACCTTCAGGCCAGGTTGGAGTTCCACCACACTTCAGTCTCATGATCATGGGAGCGTACACCATTTTGCCCTCGATGGTGTGTGTGCGTATTAAATCGACGATGGATGGAGGGAAGTGCATGTGAAGGTCACACAGGAAGAGGATGCTGTGCGAATTCTGCAAGAAACAAAGATGATCAGGCTTCCCTAAAATCCCGCTCTATTGTAATTAAACTATCTACATTCACTGGATTTAGAAGCCAGCCTATAATACCAAGACAAACCTCACTAGACCTTGATAGTGTGAATAAAGTTTTATTTTCAATTGACAGAATCTTCACTTGGTTACTTCTTATGTCACTCACCTTCACTAGATCAGCTCCAGCCTGTAGCCCCAAAGAGCGCTCAAAATTCCCCTCCAATCTCACATACTGGTAACTGCAGGAGGAGAGCACAGAGCTTAGGGACAATAGGATACCATGCTGGAAATATGAAGTCTGCATCATGCAAGTCTTTATCTGACTCTTATTTCCTGAAATACTCTGCAAGGAGTCTCCCATACTTATGAATTCAGAAGCCCCTATTGTCACTTCTTTTAGTGATCTTGCTGGTCACCTCACCTGGGAAGTTGGGACTGTTTTAGAGCTGCCTCTACATCCAAGTCGGTGCTGCTGAAGTCCACAATAATAACGCTGAAGTAGGGATCCATTGTGCTGCGGTGTATAACTTCCATGTCCTCTATAAACTTTAGAACCCATCGAGCCTGGTTCTTCACTAGCAGAAACAAATATCTTACAGTCACACCTTCCACCGAGCACCAACAGCTGCATTTAAAGAACTATATACTTACAAATGAGTCAATTTGCATAATAATAATAAGGGATACTTAACTATAATCTCATGTAGAGTTAAATCAAGTTCTCTGCAGAATTTCCCCATTCTTGGACTACCCTGCACGGCTGTCTCATTTTTTTTTTCCCACGTGTAGGCGACATCATGATGGAGAGTTGAAAAGCCTTGCAATGACCTCAAGCTATCAGCAGACCGTAACAGACTAGTGTATCTCTAGCAGATGCGCTTCTTCCAATGCTCATAGACAAGGAAGATAATGTGACCTATGCCATGGCACATAGGTCAACTGATCAGAGCATACCACAAGTATTTATTTATTTTTAGACGTTATTGTTCAGAAGTAAAACCTGACAGAGGTTCTAATCTTACTGTACATTCAAGAACTTTCCCCTCACTTCCTCGACCAGTGAGGGGAAATTTTCCCACTGAGAACACAGACAACCTGACAGAGGTTCTAATCCTCTCCCAACCCATAAAAATGAAAAGAAAAGTCTTGGCTGGCATATAGGTCACAAAATCCATTATGGTTAACCACCTCACCTGGTACTATAATGTACACCAAAGCGCGGGGGTTCCAGGCTAGCCCTGTTGGCCAACACAGTTCCGTCAACTTCTCGCTTGCCATCAGTCTCAGGCGTGGCCCCCACATAATTTTCTTCATGTCCCTTTCTTGCTCACGCTGTTCTTGAGTCAGCCCAGTCCAATTCGGGGCAAATACATACTGAGAAAATCTTAGGACACGATTAGACCTATCAGAGAGTTCAAGTTCCAAGAAATAGCGGCTCCCTCTCACATAGTCTAGGCGTTTCTCAATGTTAATGATGCGCTGGAGTTTGTACATTCTGACAAAAAATACAAAAGATAAATGTTTTAGGTGAGAGCTAGCATTACAAAAAATTAGCTACAAACCTCTAGCCATACTATTTTCCAGCTGTAGATATACAAGTCATTCAGATAGCCAGCACCTTTTTAAAATGAAGTATGGCTAATAGGACTTGGCTTTTGAGTGTGATCTTGTATACTATCAGGTGGTAAAATATATCAGAATTCCAAACTTTTTTACAACCTTGCCAGGTATTTTCTTTTTTGCTGTCCTGTTGGAGGCATTTACCTTCATTCTTTGTCTTGGAGACACAACAGAAAGAGAGAGGAAATATTTCCAAAGTGAGTGGAAATCCCCACTGGAACAGGTGTCCTCATTGGAAGATTTCCCATCACCTCCTGTTCTGGTACCAATGGTATAATTCTCACATTGGTCACCAGGACAGATAGATAGAGATTCAATGGCTTAACGCAGCGTCTTCATGGTTTTTGCTGCTGGTTTAGCTCTACATTTGTATATTCTTTATTTACATTTTGGGATAGACCTGTCTTATTTCCTATAAATACCCCACATCCCCCTTCTACACTTTACTCCATAAAACTAATCTGGTACTTGCCCTAAGTCCTCACCCTCGGTTCCACTGGTTCAATCGTTTCATGAAAGCCCCAACTATGCTCAAGGCTTCATTCTCTTTCAACTGCAGGTTTCCGGAAGTGTTGCATTGAAGATCAATGTAGTCAGACCTCAATACCTGAAAGTCTGTTTGACGCACATTAAAGGTCTGGTTCCAGAAAACAGGTTTCTCAAACTCAAATGGGTACTTAAGCTCTTGCTCTTCATCCTCATCTTCGTCATTATTTTCCTGGGATTGGGCTTCTCCTCCATCTTGTGGGTTTTGATTGCTGCGGTCCTGATTTCCCTCATTTGGTCTATGTAGTTCTGGAGCAGGAAGTATCAGTCTATTATTTGTTTTCCACAATAGATCTTGCTTTTCCCCGTCATTTTGTTTTTGGTCACCGTCATTCGATTTACTACTCTGTTTTCTGTTACCACGAGCCCCAGGTACTCCGTGTTCTTCTTGAACAAAGCTTTTCCTGTTACTGTGATCAGGTTTACCGAGTTCTCCTTCATCTTTACCTTGTTCTTCCCCTTGGTTAATCTTTTTATCCAAAACTTCTTCACGGTTTTGTCTTTTTACATTTCTTTGTTCAAGACCCAGCTTTTTACTGTTATCTACCAAAGGAGCTCCTTGTCCCTTTCCGTAAAGTTCACGTCCCTGTTTGCTAACCGTAGTTGAAACATGAAGCCTGTTCTTCATTACTAGGATGTCTTGTCTTTTACTTTTAATATCTTCAAACTCTTGTGTTTTATTACTGTATAGATGTTCATTTTGAGATTCTTGCTCTGTTTGTCCATTATAAAAGGCCCTCTTACGTCTTTCATCCCATTCCAATTTACCCTGATCAAATTCAGGTGTCTGATTTTTCCTCACATCCTGTCCGCTATCATGTGGCTTCCCATGGTAGATCTCAGACTTTGGAATCTTCTTATCATCAAAGTCTCCATTAAATTTGGGTCCTGTGCTCTGGTTTCTGGCATGTTTAGCTTTGACCTGCTTCTTCCACTTATCAGGAATTTCAGTTCTTTGTCTTGTCTCCTCAGCAAAATGATCCTGCTGCCTAGAATCTTCCTTGTTTACCCTACCCATCTTAAGACCTTGGTCATTATCATTTATGTTTTGCCTACTGCTTTTCCTTTGAAAGTCTTCCTTCTTAGGGTACCCCTTGCTACTGTTTTGTGGATCTTTTTGGAAAATCACCTTGTTAGCAAAGGCTGCTTTATTTAATACTAGATCATCCACTGTAGACATCATACTTTGTCTTTCAGGGTTTGATACATTCTTCAGGTCATATTTCATTGACTTTGTTGCTTCTTTTTGCCTTTCTCTATTTTTCTTCTTCCAGTTTCTCTGCTGTACATCTGAAATGTTTGTCTGCACCTTGTTTTCAGGCTGGTTAAGGTCATGTTTTACTTTGGCTCGATGTTGGCGTCTATGCTTGCGAGTTTTCATGCCACCAGGAGTTGTTGTTTTTTTGATCTGCCTCTCAGCTTTGGGTAGCGGATTAGAGTCATGATTTGAGATAACCAAGTCTGGATTATTGTTATACACTGTGTTTAAGTTGTTAGAGAGAGAAAGTGCTTGGTCCTGAGCATTTACAGGTATCCGGGGCGTAGGCTGTCCTTCCTCAGTCTCTGCAGCAAGGAAAAGTTTCCTCTGTTTAATGATTTCATCTTCGCTAGGCTCCTCCCTGTCCTCCTGCTCGCCGTTATCTACCATCTGATAACTTGTGTCCTCATACTGGAAATCAGACGGGTTATAGTCATCCGACCAACCTATTCAACAACATAAAGAAAGTCATTGCATAATTTGACATACTATTTATGTATCCTGTGTATCTTGTATAATTTCAAGGAAGAAGGGAAAGAAGCAAGGAAGGGGAAGGAAGAGAGGAAGGAAGCTTTGCAGAAAAGGACTCTGTTTCCCAAATCCCTGTATATTGTAATAATGGTTACTGCCACAACAAAAAGTAAGAAAACACCTATATTACTTTTAATACAGTGCTGATAAAATTCACATTGCATACCAGGATGATCAACAGGTCTGGATTTTGGATGTTTGACTTCCATATATTTGTTATATTTCAATCTGAAAGATAATAAAGACAAGGATTTGCATTCTGGGAATTTAAAAACATCCTTAAAGAATATAAATGTAACAATATTAATATTAAAGAAGACCAGGATATTGGCCTCACATGTTTATCCATACCCGATTATCATTTTAGGAAATCTACAGCCCTTTCTGTGACAAAAGAATTTACTTTGATTGCATCCCTATACGCACAGTTGTGGCCACTTCTCCTTCTCCTCAGCTAGTCATGGACTAGTGTAGATTGCATCAAGAGAAAAATATTTTCCTCTACATTAGTTACCAATCAATGATGTGTAATGGATAGAGGTTGGACAAAGACACAAGTTTGTGAGGGTTTTAGAACACATTCGTTGTTTTCCATTCCAACGGTTGCTGCCAGTGAATCTGAATATTCCTTTTATTATTATTATAATTAGGAATGCACCAATACTGGTATTTTGGTACCGAGTACGAGTACTGATAATGTTTTTTCGATACAAGCCGGGCAGCGTGTAAAGAATCGCCACCCGGCTTCCCGATTAACAAGGAAGTCCCCTCTTATTTTGGCATGTCCAGCCTGTCACCCCCCGGGGGCCTCTCCAGCCAGAACGCGGCCTTCCTCCGGTACCCGGCCAGAGCCATCTGGCCGGCCAATCAGGAAGCTGGGCACTGTGTAATGATGTGACTGATCGGCCGGGAGGTCAGCTCCATGCTCCCTCGTCATGAGATGACGAGGAGCATGAAGCCAGCTTCCCGGCCAATCAGCATGCTGGGCGCTGCCTCATTACACAACGTCCGGCTTCCTGATTGGCCAGCTTCCCGACCAATCAGGAAGCTGGGCAGCACATCATTACACGCAGCCCGGCTTCCTGATTGGCCGGGAAGTTGGCTCCATGCTCTCTCGTCACAAGTGACGAGAGAGCATGGAGCCGCTTCCCGGCCAATCAGGAAACCGGGCAGCATGTAATGACACCCTGCCCGGCTTTCTGATACAGGAAGTACTTGTGCTAGGCATCGGAGCATTTGGGCGAGTACGAGTACTCGACCCAAATACTAGTATCGATATCTGTGCCGATAACGAGTATCGGTGCATCGCTAATTATAGTACAGGATTTATATAGCGCCAACAGTTTGTGCAGCACTTTACAATATAAGGGAGACATTACAGTTACAATACAACTCAAGACAAGATGGTAAGGAGGGCCCTGCCCGTGAGGGCTTACAATCTAAAAGGGAGGGGCAAGTAATACATGAAGATATTTTAAACCAGTATACTAATTTGACTATCACTCCAAGGCTGATATTATAGAATGTAGAGGTGGTTTGTCCTACCTGCTGGAGTATCTTGTGTTCTCCTGGTACATGCACTCATTCTCCTTTTCCATGTGGCTGAGCCGGGTGTAGTCATTGGGGTAAACATAAGTTAGCCGGACCTGAATACATGGAGGGATGATGACAGTGATTAAGGGGAACTATAGTCTTTTTGATGTTTTTTAGATATGCAAGTGAACAAGGTCATCTTAAAAGGAAACATAGTTACATAGTAACATAATGTATTTTAAGTAAATAAATATTTTGACTTTTTATTGCACTGTTATAATCATTTTGATACAACTCTTACTTTTACAAGTTTGCAGAACTTTTGTAAATTGTATAATACATATATAACTCTACAGATTAGCCACTGGAGGGAGCTCTCAGTAGCTCAGTGCAATTATTCTGTGTCTCTCACTTGTTGAGATATCAGCTACACAGTTATTTTTGTATTCTGACAGTGGCCTCCTTCAGAATAAAAAAACAAAAAACAGATAGCACGGGAATGAATAGCTAGGCTGCTATTGGCCATTTCAAAAAGAGAACTTTAGGTCCTCCTCTGCTGATTGACAGCAGCAGTGGGTGGGTGCAATAGCCAGCCTGCTATTGGCTACTGGAATTTGAAGTGGCCAATAGCAGCCTAGCTATTCCTTCCCCTGCTGGTTTTTTTTTTGGTGGACAGCAGGGGATCCTGGAAAGGTTTACTCTGCTAGATAGTTTCTCTTGCGGGCGTCAGGGAGCCGCTATCATATAGCAGTAGACTCCTGGAATGTCTGGGAGAGCTGGGATGTCTGCTGTACTGTATTTATGGAGGAATAGTGTTGTTTCCTGATTTAATCTCGCCAGATCTTCCGAAAGCTTCCATACCCTTTACTGCACTAAACATACATGTTGCAGTGCACTGCAATTCATTCTGACTAGCACCCCAACCCACATATACTGCATCGAACAATGCACCTGTACTTCAGTGTACTACAATGTACAAGTGCTGATCTGCAATCTCCAAAAGAAGCAACCGTATATTTTTATGCATATTACGGTTTCTAAAGGGGCCAGTCACAGCAAACGAATCAAGGCACTATAATAAGCATGTTAAGTACACTTATAGCTGGGCCAATAGGGTCTAGTCATCAGCCATGACAGTACTCACACTAGCCCCCTCTCCTTTTTTTTCTGTCTGCAGCTACTTACAAATTGCAGGCCCTGGTATCGCTGAAGGGGGTAACCATCTACCAGGTAGCTGGGTCTATACGCACAGTTGGGTAGGACACTTTGCAGCCGATGCAACGGCAGAAGTGGCACTGGAATATAGAGAGAGGCAACATTATATTGAGGCAATATCACTGATATTCATAACATCTAAAGGGAGACAACTTGATTTTCATAGTACAAGAAATCGTCTACAATGTATATTTTACATTAAAAATAATGTAACTGTCATATTTATAATTATTTATTATCCCTTGCGTCTCATGTGTTGTATTTCTTGTTGGAAGTCCCTAAAATTACTCCCTCTCCATTCTAATCGGATTACTTACAGTTTATACAGTAGGTCCTCTATGGGACCTCAGCAAGGAGGGCACCAGTCAGGCACTGCAGCAGCACTGACAGGAGTAGATGGCAGAGTGATGGCCCATCACTGTGCTGCTGCTCTTTCTTTGTCCAATCAGCAAGCTGGAGGCTCTGCTGCTGCTACTGCAGGTGACGTACAGCATATGGCTGTGCTGTCTGGCAGTCAGGGCCGGATTTCCCACAAGGCCAACCGAGGCCCGGCTTTGGGGCAGCAGGGAGTAGAGTGGCAGCAGGGGTGTGGAAATTCCTATCTCCCCATGCCTGGGCACCGGGCGTAGGGTTGCCACCTTTTCTTCAAGCGAAACCCGAACACTCAAGCGACGCACGGAATTTTTTTGGGGAGAATGAGTGGGGGCTTATTCATATGTAAATAGCGCTGCCCATTCCTATGTAAATATCCCAGTTGAGACTATTTTCAATGGGGGTCGGTAACTCTTATTTTAATTTTGGTTGCCCCAAGTCTGCCTGACATCTTGTGTCCGGGTTTCTGCTGCCATGAAACCCGGACACAGCATTCAAAACCCGAACTGTCCGGGTGAATCCTGGACAGGTGGCAACCCTAACCGGGCGGGTAGTGGTTTTCTACATTTAGCTCTGCTTTGGGCATGCAGATGTACAGCAGGGAAGCCGCCACTTGTTTTGTACATGTGATCTCTGCGATGTCGCCAAGATCACTTGTATGCAGCCCGCATACAGGGGGGCGCATTGAGGAACCTGGCATTGGGGCAGCAGAGAGAGTAAATCCGTCCCTGCTGGCAGTGATGTTCGGATTACAAAACTGGCTGCACATTTAGCAGGTAACACAACTTACATATACTGAATGTATCTGAAAAGTGTATTTAGCCGCCTGTCAGAAGTTTAGTCCTCTACTATCAGCTGACACAGTATAAGCAGGAATTTTCACGTAACATTGGTCATCTTATTCTTCTCCCAGAACCTCCCACCCCCAGAACCTTTAGAGGAAGCCCTGCCATAGTCACCTTTGTAGAATGTGTCTCTCGGGTCCGGTTTCAGTATATCTGCAGGGTGGTGGTTGGAGCCTTGGCTGTAGTGACTTGCCTTGCTCTTTGGGGTCTGGGATGTGTCCCCCAGGGGTAGGTTAGATTCATCTGTGGACAGAAGGTCAGAGAGGTGAAATGACTCTGCAGGGAAGATGAACTGGACTGTGGAAGAATTCATTGACAAGCAGATAGATAGGCTGTTATAATACAGAGATAGGTAGCTTTACTATTCACTTTGGAGGGTTGGCCATGACTGGCAGAATTGGTTGAAAAAAGGGTTGGAGTCAAGACATTATGGAGAACCTTTAGGGGGGAGAGTGAGGTATTAACCCCCCTTCCCCGTTCCTTATTTCAGTTTTTGGACAGGCTGCATAATTAACGGTAATAATCAGGTTTTCAAAACTATTTGGTGTACACAAAGCCCAGCTGACTTAGCCGAAATTTGAGCATTGTGTGCCCCATTGGCATCACTCTTTAACTGACAATTGACTTGCTGAAGAAGCAGGTCTGAAAATTCTTGGCCAGTCAGCTGCAGTCACTGCTCAGGTATTCTGAAATCACACCTGCTGCTGTCAGAATACAATAGCTGTTTAGCATAGACGAGGAGGGCTGAACAAGAAAAGATCGATAAGTGTCTGGCCAACTTAACTCTCCTTTTCTGAAATACTCTGTGCTGGTGGAGGACTCTGCTCCTTCCTCAATCTAACTTTCTTTTCCTGAAATAGTCTGCACTGCTAGAGGACTCTGCTCCTTCATCTTACTCTCCTCTTCTGACATACTCTGCACTGCTGGAGGACTCTGCTCCTTCCTCCATCTAACTCTCCTCTCCTGGAATACTCTGCACTGCTGAAGGACTCTGTTCCTTCCTCCATCTAACTCTCCTCACCTGAAATACTCTGCACTGCCGGAGGACTCTGCTCCTTCATCCATCTAACTCTCCTCACCTGAAATACTCTGCACTGCTGGAGGACTCTGCTCCTTCCTCTATCCAACTCTCCTGAAATACTTTGCACTGCTAGAGGACTGTGCCGGAAATTAAGACAGTGGGTGCTGCTGTCAGCACCCTTTCAGCCGGCCTCCCTAGATCAGCTAAATGAGCCTGTCTGAAAATCTTTGTACGAGCAGAGCCTGCAACCAATGACCTGTCGGCTCAGTTCAGGTATTCTGACAGCAGCCGTCAGCCACTGTCAGAATACAAGAGAAACAGCTGGGATTCTGCGATCAACGCACTTGTAGTATTGATGGCGAAATCTGCTCTTTTTTTTTTCGTTCAGCCTGCGGGCTGAGCGAAAAAAATAGAGCAGTGTATGGCTAGCTTAACTCTCCTCTCCTGAAATACTCTGCACTGCTGGAGGACTCTGCTCTTTCCTCTATCTAACTCTCCTCTCCTGAAATACTCTGCTCTGCTGGAGGACTCTGCTCCTTCCTCCATCTAACTCTCCTCTCCTGAAATTCTCTGCTCTGCTGGAGGACTCGGCTCCTTCCTCCATCTAACTCTCCTCTCCTGAAATACTCTGCTCTGCTGGAGGACTCGGCTCCTTCCTCCATCTAACTCTCCTCTCCTGAAATACTCTGCACTGCTGGAGGACTCTGCTCCTTCCTCTATCTAACTCTTCTCTCCTGAAATACTCTGCACTGCTGGAGGACTCTGCTCCTTCTTCTATCTAACTCTCCTCTCCTGAAATACTCTGCACTGCTGGAGGACTCTGCTCCTTCTTCTATCTAACTCTCCTCTCCTGATGTACTCTGCACTGCTGGAGGACTCAGCTCCTTCCTCTATCTAACTCTCCTCTCCTGAAATACATACCTTACATATGACACATGGCACTTACTTGAGAAAAGCGACAATAATTTTGATTCTATCAGTGTGAAACGGGCTAAAGGGACTGCTTGCCGGAGTTGCCGCCACTGTGAGAGATGATGAAAGGAATAAGAGACAAATATATTACTTCTGATAGACAAAATAATAAAAGAATCCTTGAAGTTACACAAACTGATCTCTAAGCACTAGTTCATATCCTGGTAAGGTAAGTGAGCCCTGAAAACTTGTGAGAACCCTCAATAATGGGTGCAGTAGATGTGCAGACCCAGGAACTTCATGCAGAGATAATTGGAACCCCTCATAATAGGTACAGGAGGTGTGCAGACCTGGGAACTCCAAGCAGAGACAGTTGGAACCCCTCATAATGGGCACAGCATGGGGGGGGGGGCAGACCCAGAAACTTAGTGCAGGGTTGGTAAGAACCCCTCATAATATTTTACATTAAAAATAATGTAACTGTCATATTTATAATTATTTATTATCCCTTGCGTCTCATGTGTTGTATTTCTTGTTGGAAGTCCCTAAAATTACTCCCTCTCCATTCTAATCGGATTACTTACAGTTTATACAGTAGGTCCTCTATGGGACCTCAGCAAGGAGGGCACCAGTCAGGCACTGCAGCAGCACTGACAGGAGTAGATGGCAGAGTGATGGCCCATCACTGTGCTGCTGCTCTTTCTTTGTCCAATCAGCAAGCTGGAGGCTCTGCTGCTGCTACTGCAGGTGACGTACAGCATATGGCTGTGCTGTCTGGCAGTCAGGGCCGGATTTCCCACAAGGCCAACCGAGGCCCGGCTTTGGGGCAGCAGGGAGTAGAGTGGCAGCAGGGGTGTGGAAATTCCTATCTCCCCATGCCTGGGCACCGGGCGTAGGGTTGCCACCTTTTCTTCAAGCGAAACCCGAACACTCAAGCGACGCACGGAATTTTTTTGGGGAGAATGAGTGGGGGCTTATTCATATGTAAATAGCGCTGCCCATTCCTATGTAAATATCCCAGTTGAGACTATTTTCAATGGGGGTCGGTAACTCTTATTTTAATTTTGGTTGCCCCAAGTCTGCCTGACATCTTGTGTCCGGGTTTCTGCTGCCATGAAACCCGGACACAGCATTCAAAACCCGAACTGTCCGGGTGAATCCTGGACAGGTGGCAACCCTAACCGGGCGGGTAGTGGTTTTCTACATTTAGCTCTGCTTTGGGCATGCAGATGTACAGCAGGGAAGCCGCCACTTGTTTTGTACATGTGATCTCTGCGATGTCGCCAAGATCACTTGTATGCAGCCCGCATACAGGGGGGCGCATTGAGGAACCTGGCATTGGGGCAGCAGAGAGAGTAAATCCGTCCCTGCTGGCAGTGATGTTCGGATTACAAAACTGGCTGCACATTTAGCAGGTAACACAACTTACATATACTGAATGTATCTGAAAAGTGTATTTAGCCGCCTGTCAGAAGTTTAGTCCTCTACTATCAGCTGACACAGTATAAGCAGGAATTTTCACGTAACATTGGTCATCTTATTCTTCTCCCAGAACCTCCCACCCCCAGAACCTTTAGAGGAAGCCCTGCCATAGTCACCTTTGTAGAATGTGTCTCTCGGGTCCGGTTTCAGTATATCTGCAGGGTGGTGGTTGGAGCCTTGGCTGTAGTGACTTGCCTTGCTCTTTGGGGTCTGGGATGTGTCCCCCAGGGGTAGGTTAGATTCATCTGTGGACAGAAGGTCAGAGAGGTGAAATGACTCTGCAGGGAAGATGAACTGGACTGTGGAAGAATTCATTGACAAGCAGATAGATAGGCTGTTATAATACAGAGATAGGTAGCTTTACTATTCACTTTGGAGGGTTGGCCATGACTGGCAGAATTGGTTGAAAAAAGGGTTGGAGTCAAGACATTATGGAGAACCTTTAGGGGGGAGAGTGAGGTATTAACCCCCCTTCCCCGTTCCTTATTTCAGTTTTTGGACAGGCTGCATAATTAACGGTAATAATCAGGTTTTCAAAACTATTTGGTGTACACAAAGCCCAGCTGACTTAGCCGAAATTTGAGCATTGTGTGCCCCATTGGCATCACTCTTTAACTGACAATTGACTTGCTGAAGAAGCAGGTCTGAAAATTCTTGGCCAGTCAGCTGCAGTCACTGCTCAGGTATTCTGAAATCACACCTGCTGCTGTCAGAATACAATAGCTGTTTAGCATAGACGAGGAGGGCTGAACAAGAAAAGATCGATAAGTGTCTGGCCAACTTAACTCTCCTTTTCTGAAATACTCTGTGCTGGTGGAGGACTCTGCTCCTTCCTCAATCTAACTTTCTTTTCCTGAAATAGTCTGCACTGCTAGAGGACTCTGCTCCTTCATCTTACTCTCCTCTTCTGACATACTCTGCACTGCTGGAGGACTCTGCTCCTTCCTCCATCTAACTCTCCTCTCCTGGAATACTCTGCACTGCTGAAGGACTCTGTTCCTTCCTCCATCTAACTCTCCTCACCTGAAATACTCTGCACTGCCGGAGGACTCTGCTCCTTCATCCATCTAACTCTCCTCACCTGAAATACTCTGCACTGCTGGAGGACTCTGCTCCTTCCTCTATCCAACTCTCCTGAAATACTTTGCACTGCTAGAGGACTGTGCCGGAAATTAAGACAGTGGGTGCTGCTGTCAGCACCCTTTCAGCCGGCCTCCCTAGATCAGCTAAATGAGCCTGTCTGAAAATCTTTGTACGAGCAGAGCCTGCAACCAATGACCTGTCGGCTCAGTTCAGGTATTCTGACAGCAGCCGTCAGCCACTGTCAGAATACAAGAGAAACAGCTGGGATTCTGCGATCAACGCACTTGTAGTATTGATGGCGAAATCTGCTCTTTTTTTTTTCGTTCAGCCTGCGGGCTGAGCGAAAAAAATAGAGCAGTGTATGGCTAGCTTAACTCTCCTCTCCTGAAATACTCTGCACTGCTGGAGGACTCTGCTCTTTCCTCTATCTAACTCTCCTCTCCTGAAATACTCTGCTCTGCTGGAGGACTCTGCTCCTTCCTCCATCTAACTCTCCTCTCCTGAAATACTCTGCTCTGCTGGAGGACTCTGCTCCTTCCTCCATCTAACTCTCCTCTCCTGAAATACTCTGCTCTGCTGGAGGACTCTGCTCCTTCCTCCATCTAACTCTCCTCTCCTGAAATACTCTGCTCTGCTGGAGGACTCTGCTCCTTCCTCCATCTAACTCTCCTCTCCTGAAATACTCTGCTCTGCTGGAGGACTCTGCTCCTTCCTCCATCTAACTCTCCTCTCCTGAAATACTCTGCACTGCTGGAGGACTCTGCTCCTTCTTCTATCTAACTCTCCTCTCCTGATGTACTCTGCACTGCTGGAGGACTCAGCTCCTTCCTCTATCTAACTCTCCTCTCCTGAAATACATACCTTACATATGACACATGGCACTTACTTGAGAAAAGCGACAATAATTTTGATTCTATCAGTGTGAAACGGGCTAAAGGGACTGCTTGCCGGAGTTGCCGCCACTGTGAGAGATGATGAAAGGAATAAGAGACAAATATATTACTTCTGATAGACAAAATAATAAAAGAATCCTTGAAGTTACACAAACTGATCTCTAAGCACTAGTTCATATCCTGGTAAGGTAAGTGAGCCCTGAAAACTTGTGAGAACCCTCAATAATGGGTGCAGTAGATGTGCAGACCCAGGAACTTCATGCAGAGATAATTGGAACCCCTCATAATAGGTACAGGAGGTGTGCAGACCTGGGAACTCCAAGCAGAGACAGTTGGAACCCCTCATAATGGGCACAGCATGGGGGGGGGGGCAGACCCAGAAACTTAGTGCAGGGTTGGTAAGAACCCCTCATAAACGGCAGAGCAGGTATGCAGACCTGGGATCTCAGCTTAGGGATGGTGGGAGACCCTTTATAATGGGCTCAGCAGGTGTGCAAACCATGGAGCTCAGCATAGGGATGTTGGGGACCCCTCATAATGAGCACAGCATAGGGGCAGAACTGGGAACTCACCATAGAGTCTCCCAGTGATAGAAAAAACTTAAATAGAGATATATTGAATTCTGTACAACTGGGGTATGAGATAGAAGTCTGGCAAGTGCTGTTTTTAGTCTTTGGTCATTCCTAATGCCTTTTGTCATGTACTGGACTATAACAAGAAGAACATCACAAAGGCTCCACATATCAAAATCCCCCCTTACCGCGAGCTCCACGTGGTCTGTGCCAGAATCGTCCTGCTTGTGTAAAAGTTCAAAGTAATACCGCTTAGAAGACGACAGCCTGTAAAGGAAAAGGTACAAGATAGAAATTAACATACGCTTTTTAAAGGGTAACACCATCCCCTGATCTATGATAGCTAAGTGTAGTGATGTGAATTATGCTTTATCCTCCACACAGAATTTTTGCTCCGTAGAGTTCTGCCTCCTGACAGATATAATCTACTTGACCTCTAAACAACAGGACGCAGAAAGTGCACATTTGCTGGGATGCAAAATTTAGATCTTTGGACAAAGAACAAGAGGTAAGAGCAATACAAATAGGGATATTTGCCCATTCCCCAATCAAGAGTTCAGGGTTTGTTGACTTCAGCTGCCAACTGGATATAGTTAAAAAAAATTCAACCGTATGTCAAATTGCTACATATATAATTTACAAATATGCACATTCCACAATGGTGAGATTCCCACATGGTGGCTAGTATCTCTGTCCCTTCATCACTGGTGGAATTTCCCGGTACTAGTTTGTGTCCCCGCCCCACCCAGAATGGTGAGATTTCCTCTGCAGTAGTTTGTGTCTCTGCCCCTCCCACAATGGAGAGATTTCCCCCAGTAGTTTGTGTCCCTGCCCCTCTCACAATGGTGAGATTTCCCTGCAGTAGTTTGTGTCTCTGCCACTCCCACAATGGTAAAATTTCTCAGCAATAATTTGTGTCCCTGCCCCTTCCACAATGGTGGAATTTCCCAACACTAGTTTGTGTCTCTGCCCCTCCCACAATGGTGAGATTTCCCTGCAGTAGTTTGTGTCTCTGCCCCTCCCACAATGGTGAGATTTCCCTGAAGTAGTTTGTGTCTCTGCCTCTCGCACAATGATGAGATTTCCCACCAGTAGTTTGTGTCTCTGCTCCTCCCATGATGGTGAGATTTCCCTACAGTGGTTTGTGTCTCTGCCCCTCCCACAATGGTGAGATTTCCCCCCAGTAGTTTGTGTCTCTGCTCCTCCCACAATGGTGAGATTTCCCTACAGTGGTTTGTGTCTCATCCTCTCCCACAATGGTGAGATTTCCCCCCAGTAATTTGTGTCTCTGCCCCTCCCACAATGCTAGTATTCCCTGCAGGAGTTTGTGTCTCTGCCCCTCCCACAATGGTGAGATTTTCCCCCAGTAGTTTGTGTCTCTGCCCCTCCCACAACAGTGAGGTTTTCCATGAACAGTTTGAGTCCTGTGGTGATCCAGGACAGGGAATGATGCCTGGGGAATATTTTAACATTTGCCTTTCACTACTGGCACAGTGTAATGTCCCTCTAATGATAGAAATAGTAGCACAGTATAAAGCGGACCAGTCTAATTCTCACCTGACAGTCTTGGAGACCTGTTCCTGGAATTTTCCAAACTCTCCTGGAGCTGTCCACTGTCTTCCTGCCTGGAGAGACCATGCTTTCAGACAAATTCAAGCAAAAACTGAGAAGATTCTGGGAAAGGGGGCATTCAGATTTACGAATCCATATAAATTCAAAATCTTTTTGATAACGAAATTCGGATGCATCTGAAATGTTTCCCAAATATCATTCGGAACGGAACAAAGAAGTGGAAAATTGTGTGTTATTCTGTAACAGTTCTCTGCCTCTTTGTTGACATTCGGGAGCATCCCGAATATCATCAAAGTAGCCGAGAACTGTTACAGAATGCAAAAAAGTTTTTAACATCTGACTATCCACACACAAAAAAACCCAAAAAACCATGCGGTTCCCTCCGGCAAATTATACCAGACCCTTTAGGTCTGGCAGGAATTTTAGGAGGGACTCCAACCCCCAAAAAACAAAAAAAGGCATGGGGACTCCCCAAAATCCCTTACTAGACCCTAGTTCTGAGCAGCAGCCAAGTAGAGCAGGAAAGGGGGTGGGGGGACAACTGTGCGGCCTCTTACCTCCTACACCATACCTGGTCTGCTAAGGGATTTTAGGGGCATCCCCACGCATTTTTTTTGCGTCAGGGTCCCCCCTAAAGGGTCTGGTATGAATTGCTAGAGGGAACCGCACACTGTTTTTTTAAATTGTTTCTGTGGACTGTCAAAAGTTAAAAAGAAAAAAGTAAACATTTAATGTCACTTTACTGCAACATAATTATTGTTTTTAACTCATCCGAAATGAAGGAAAATTTTGGATTCGTCCGAATCCCGAAATGAATTGACTTTCACATCCAAATCCAGAAAAAGCGAAAGGAAATATCTGAAAACGAAACAAAGCAATTTTTTTGCCGGCACACATGTCTAATGTAGACAACAATACAAAGAGGTCCCTGGTCTCTACACTGTACACCGCAGGATAGATGATTTTATTTAACAACCTGCATATTATACATGTGGCAGATTTGACATTTTTGTAGTGTTTGAATGCAATATGTTATAAACTGGAATTATCTCCTAATACATTTAAGGCCATCATTCCGTACCGGCCCCACTCTGCACAGCAGCTGCAGCTTTCCCACTGAATGGTCTTCACTCAGCCAGAACTCCGAATTGTCATCTGACGACACGGCAAATTGGAAATTTCCTATAACAAGGAACAAGGGACGAGCGTCAGTCTGAGTGAATAGGTTGGACTACAAAGTATTAAGATGCAGTGTGTCTGCCATTACCTTTCCGGTCAAAACATCCCAGGTTGCTAACAGACAGGCAGGGAGATGTGTAAGGGCCATTCTCTAGCCAGCATCGCGCTCAACTCAACTCAACCAGTGGCGCTCACTCGTTTCAGCCCCCCCCCCTTTCTTGCCCTCACAGGCCTGTTCTCAGATTTAGGGTCTGGTTGGGAATTTTAGGGGGGGCACATCCCCCCCCCATTTGGGGGGGGGGGATTCCCCCTTAAAATTCATACCAGACTTAAAGGGCCTGGTAGGACTTTTGGGGGGAACTCCACACCTCCTAACTTTCCTACCAGACCTGGAGGGTCTGGTATGGATTGGGAGGGGGACCCTGCGCCATTTTTTTTTTTTTAACATTTGCGTAGAGAACGGTCTGCTGGAAGCAATGCATGATGGGATATGCAGTGTTGAGAAATGGAGATTGCATCACATCAAGCAGCCCGGAAGAGACACAAAGCACACTGGGAATCCAGGAAGTTGATGAAAGTGGTGGGCAGACAGAAGGCAGCACTCACTACTTGAAAGGGATTTTTTTCTAGTAAGCTTTGATTGCATCATCAAAAACAACTCTAGTATGTATTCCTATTATAATGTTTAGGTTATAACAGGATAGAATATGCTGGGGCTTCAAAACGTATTTAGGATGTGCTAAATAGTGCTTAAGTCATGCTAAAATGGCATATTACACGATGAGATGTTTTACCATGACCTCATTTTAGTTTAAGGAGCCTTGAATTAATGTAAATCCTATGGATGATATTCAGTGTGCTTAGCACTATGTATCGTAAACAATTTCTATATTGTTTTTCATTGAATATTTGTTTTCACATTTTGTCTATTGCTTTTTTGCATCTCACTTCTACTGATCTCCAGCAGCCACTTTGTGGCCACTTCCTGTCTACATGCAGCTTCCAGCGAAAGCTGCATGGCATTTCTCAGAGTGGGTTTTCCTGATTTGGAAAACAGTGCATCAGGTCAGAGTGTTGAGACGGCCACATGCAGCCTCCATCGAAGCTCATCTTATTGGGTGACAACACAGGAGACAGGGACAGAGCCTTGTCACCCTATAACAGGAAGTTTCTAAAAAAGGATTTTCATGGCAGGATCACCAGGGATTATTTTTAAACAAAGTTACAGGTTTAAAAACATTGAAATGACTTTTATTTGACATTACCATGTTAGAGGATTTAAAGAATCGTAGCGACTGGGTTTTTCTTTTTTCCTTTTTCAGTATATACTTGAAATACCGTAGCAGATTGCTGAATCGGGGCCTTTGAAGCAGAGCTATAGGCCCATACACAGTGTTAATACAAATGTGAAGTTCTGTCAAAATACCTTTCAACCAGTATTGACATTGAGACATTTTTTCCAGACAGCATACTCAGGTCCTTGACCTTACATTTCTTCTTTACAGTTATAGCTATGCAGAATGGTCGTGGACGTCCCCCACCCTGTGACTGGATAATAAAGGAGCAGCTCTTCACTGAAGAGGTCATTCCTCTCTCCTTCTATCAAGCAAGATTGGCTTACAGTGCTTCCTTGCTTCTCGCTGGCCTGCTGTTTCGGGCCCCATGTTAATATGCCAGATCAGTCTATGAATTGCCAGTGTTTGCGGTCCATTGCCCTTACCGTCTGTGTCAGGGTGCAGGTATCCGAACATGCGCAGCCCGTAGTTGGTCCATTGCGGAGTAACGGCAAGCTTGTTGACTGTAGTACGAATCTGATGTAGCAGAAACAAAAGCTTAATAAAGTGGACATTTACATCAATATAAAAATGTGTGATCAAGCAGGGTTTTTATTGCAGAACAGACATCTCTTCTGTAATAAAGGATTCTCACCTTCCTGTTCACCTACTTATTGACAAGCTGAGCTGTGTATTTGTATCAGCCGGGTTTCAGGATGAATGAACTCCTACTTATCCTAGCACAGCCAATCAAGATGGCCGAAGACCCCAAACATGGAAGACCAGGCACACATGCTGGAGCCAGTGAGAGAGAGCACGTGTGTTGCATCACTGGAGGGTAGGTGAGTATATTACCAACTAACATAGTTAGGTTTATTAAAGAAGGACTCCAGGAAAATGTTTTATTAACCCTTGCAGTGGGGCTACCCCAGCACTGTATGGGGTAAGTGCTCGTTTTGTTGTAGGGAAAAAAATAACAAAATAAATAAGTTATACTCACCTAATCCTCCAAGCCGGCCAGCTATAACAGTGCTCCCTCCTGCCTGTCTCTTCCTCCTGCACCCATGGAATGTCCCTTGGCATCCTCATGTTCGATACAGTATAGAATGTGATGACTCACAGGACCTTTGCCCCCACAGCAGAGGGGAAGCAAGGCTGGAAGGACTGGTCTATGAGCATGCTGGCTCGGAGGATCTGGTGAGTATAACTTTGTTATTTTCATCCCTAGACCAAAACAAGCAGTTAACCCTAGCAGTGCAGGGGTAGCCCCACTGCAAGAGTTAATAGAAATTTTGCCTGGAGTTCTTCTTTAAAGTGGAACTGTCATCAGATATATTTTGCATGTTATGTGCGGCATGTTCAGTACTCTGTTAGTGTAACACTGCCAGGTATTTATGACTATTTACAGGGATCAGAGTACTCTCCCTGGCAATACCTTAATCTGCTTTTCTCTTCCAAAGGACGACACCATCTTTATTCAGGCAGTCGGATCACTGCGGGAGGTGAACACTAGAGAAATGCTTCCCCCTACCTGCAGCAGACTAGACATGTGCACCGGAAAAAAAATTGTTTCGTTTTTTATTTGGATTTTGCGTTAAGTTGTTTTTCCGGTCCGAAAGTCAATTTGTTTCGGGATTCAGGCGAAATGCGTAAGCGGTAGTCTATACGCATTTTCGTTTTGTTGTCGGTTTGTTGCAGCAAAGTGACTAAAAAATATATTTTTTCCCTCTAATGCCACTTCGCTGCAACAAAAATTCATCCACAAACAAAAAGTCGTACAGACTACCGCTAACGAATTCGGAAATTCGGATTCGTTTTCATTCGTCATTTCTGTTATTCGGAAACTCGGATACATCCGAACCTCCGAATAACGAAAATGCGTCCAAAAAGAAATCGCACATGTCTACAGCCGACTGATGACAGTCATCTCAGCTGTTAGCCTCTCCTCAGCCTGACATGACTGGCAAGAGCTAACATTGTAATAAACCTCCCCAAATTCTGTGCAGGTGCGAGAATTCTCACTGGCATGCTTGTAAATGCCCTTCCAGAGGCTGATGTACGTCTTCCAACAAAGGCAGACATATCCTGGATCGATATGTTCAATATAGCAATAGACATAGCAATTTGAATACTTCTTATCTGGGATTTGTTTGAACAGAACCAATTCTACTGGCACCCAAACAAACACTGGCTCACGTTTTAGGTCAGGTCATAAATAGTAAAATGTTAATCATTAATGGTGAAGGTGGATTTATAACCAGTTAAACCAGTGCACTGTCACTCTCGTTTGTTCTAGAATGGTGACGCACTCAGCACCGGATGGAACAACACTAACCAAGCGCACGCTGGGCTCCGATTGGTCGGAGAAAATTACATTGTGTGCTCAATAAACATCTACAGTTATTCTGCAAAGATCTGACCATGTTTTATGTTACACCCTAAGGGCCCATTCACACGACATCCAGATCATCTCCAGACCAGACTGTTTCCAGACCCAAAATACATCCTAATCTATCCCTATGCTATTTCTGGCCTCTGTTCACACCAGCGCAGTCCGTTCCAGACCAGAAAAATATGCACGTCTCATTTTGTCTGGTCTGGAATGCACTGGAACTGCGGGCAGGTTCACACTATTTTCCGCACCAGATCTGGAACAGAAAATGGTGTGAACCCGCTCTAAAACATGGTTAGAAAGGTAAACTTAGCCTAGAACCGATGCATACTGACCCAGTTACATTTAGCCTGGACTTCTAGGTTTCAGTGGCCTCTGGTCGTGAAGGTGTTAAAAAAAATTACTGAAAATTGTTATCTTTTACAAAGCAATTATTACAAAATCTTTTGCTGAGTGCCGTGTTATGAGTGCGTTTGCCCGTGGTGTACATGCAGCGGTACTCACATGGGGGAACAGGGGGAAGTGCAGGTTGCGCCGTAGTTGATCGATGCTGCTTCCACACCAATCCTCGAACACGTGCAGATTCACCTGGCCAACAAACTGCAGAATAAACACAATTATAGTCTTATCATTATTATGATTATATATATTTGGAATGCATGTGCATCCTAATTCATCCTGCAGGGGGCAGTGTTGGAGAATGCAACTAGTCCTGGCAATATCACCTGTGTATTTGTCCTGGCTTTGATTTACTTATCTCCTCAGTCTGCAGATAATAGCACATATCTAAAGCCGCTTCTAAAGTGAATAAATCAAACCTAGTCAAGTGGTTTTTTTTTGTTTGTTTCAGATCTCTCCAAAGTAAACTCCTCACTTAGAGAGTTGTGATCAGGATAAGTGCCCTCATTTGAAGATTTCCTCTCTATTGTTGCCCTGGTGACAACTCAATATTTTGAATTTTCTTTCACTTTGAGTCCCAGTGAAAATAGTCACCAGGACAAATAGAGATTGGTGAATCTCCCCACTGGGGACACACAGAGAGCAAAAAAAAAACATGACAGGGGTTCCAACTCCTCCACACTACACCCAAAAACAAAAATGGCAAATGTTATTTTTAGCCAATATTAAAGGTCACCAAAATGGAATATTCCTTTGCACAGCTAAGTTGGTTAGGTGCCCTGTTGGGCCTGTTTTATATACTGTGTCTTAGTTGTGTTACGACACTTTCTTATTTTCCCTTTTTTCTTTGAAATGATAATTGTAACATTGGTTAAAAACTCAATAGAAATTCAGTAGGGAAGGTGGGAGCCCCTCATAATTAGCACAGCAGGTGTACAGACCCAGGAACTCAGCATAGGGATGGTGGAAACCCCTCATAATGGTCACAGCTGGTGTACAGACCTGAGAACTCAGCACAGGGATGATGGGAGAATCTCATAATGGGCACAGCAGGTGTGCAGACCCGAAACTCAGTGCAGGGATGGTGGGAACCCCTCATATCCCCTCAGCAGGTGTACAGACCTAGGAACTCAGCGTACAGGTGGTGGAAGCCCTCATAATGGTCACAGCAGGTGTGCAGACCCAGGATCTCAGCACAGAAATGGTGGGAGACCCTCATAATGGGAACAGCAGGTGTACAGACCTAAGACTGGCATTCATTTGTGTCTTTTATATCTGCCTGGAGTACAAGTTTTTCAGACCAAAAGCTACCAAATAAAAAATGTTTACTGTTCGGGATTTACATGCACTCTAAATGTTGCTCCAAGAGTAATCACACATGTAATAGGTTCTTCTACAGCAACTATTGCATTACGAGTACAAATGGCTGCAGACTTATGCAGGAATGTGAACTGAATGTTTGATGAGAAAAGTACTAATTATTACATGAACTATTCATTATTACAAAACATAATGAATGGATATGTTGAAAAAAAACCTGTCATGATAACATTATATAGGTTGGCAAATTCTATTTAAAAATGCCCATCTGTGTAACTGTTCTTAAACAAGTATGTAGATCTCTGACCTGTACACTTGTACAAAGTAAATTAGCCAGAAAGTGCTAAAGTCAGTGGATGAACATGACATATTTCCTATAGCACTGTTTTTTTTTTAAAGGGACAGTCTGCCCAAAAATATGTACCAGACACCAGAACAGGTGTCCCTGTTAGAAGATGTTCCCTCACCTCCTTTCAGATATCCCATCATTTTCTGTCCCAGTGACAATGGTTTCTGGGACAAATAGACAGCCGGGATACAGACAGCAGTAAAAACAGAGGTTCAAATCCTTCCCGATTTCATTACAAAATTAATTTTTTTTAAAAAGCCACGGGTGGTGCCGTTGCCACCAACCGGCTCAACAAAATTCAAATGAAAAACCAAAGGAGCCAGGTGGAAATTGTCGAACAGCGACTGCATCCAATCAGATTCACTCACTGTTCAAGTATTCAGACATCCGTGGGTGCCAGCTGTTAGGATACAAAAATCATCAGGGGAGATTCCTACCCTGTTTAATGAGGATTGAGGAACCCGGTGATTTCTGTCATTCATTCTGCAGGGCTGAAGAAGAGAAATCTCCAAGTCCATGGCCAGCTCCAGGCTGTAATTCCTCCTTATCAGTCAGTAAAACCTCTCAGGTTGCTGAGAAAAATATACATTACAAAGAGGTAACCTGGACCACTTTGTATTGTGTAGTATGAGCCAAGGTCCTTTAAATAGATAGGTGGGATTTTGTGTTGATAAGAGAGAATGACACGATGGGAAAGGGCTGTAATTGGAGATTAGACTGGGGCCCAGATGATAGCCAATCCTGAGATCCCTTTGCACAAAGGGGATTAATGCGGCTGCATAGAGAATGTATTGTGTAGATGAGATCATGCTTCCTTCTCCCATCTATACTCACCTGATCAACCGCAAATAATATCTACCCCTCCCCCCCACCCCCCACAACACACACACTTTCTAAAGACAGCTCAGTGCCAATACATAGCATAGACCATAGAGGAGGGTTCAGACACAGGTAAAAGGGGAAAAGGTCTGCCTGCAGCTCCGCTCAGAAAGCCAATCATTAAAATGTAATACAATAAATGTCAAAAGCTGTTTTCTAATGTTTTCAATCTGCAGTTTTCATTGGAATAATCCCTGGTGATCCTGCCATTAAGGTCCTTGCATAGGCACTTCCTGTTACAGGGTGACAACTGTCTCCCGATTGTGCTCATGTGCTGACACCTGTGCTCCTGGTGGAGACAATAAGCGGCTGCTCTGACGCACATTGCAAAAGTATGGTCTACCATTAGGAAGTTGATCCAGAGCAATCATGTGCAGAAAATGACACGAAATATGATTTTTTTATGTCATATTCCTTTTCTCGAAGCATAGGATGGGATGTCTGAAAGAGACTGCAGAAGACTGCTGGGACGGGAAGAAGCATGAAAAAAGGTAAAAACTGAATTTTATATGAAAAAGATTTTACACAACATTTTTGAAATTTGAGTCCATGTGTGAGGTCAGGTACTGATGTTGGATGAGAAGACCCGGTGTTCTGTCGAAATGGCCAACTCGTCGAGATCTCCAACTTGTAACGTCACATCCGTTGGAGATTTTGACGAGAAGGCGCTATTGCGCCAGCTCTGGCATTTTTACAAGCCTCGTCGACTTCCCCAGTTACCCTAAGTATGCCTGTGCGGCCTCTCAATCCTCATCGAGTTCTCCAACTGGCGTCAATGATCATGCTATCGGGTGCCTGCGCATTAACGCAAATTACGGAATGTGTTACTGCTCTTGGGTGGCTGAGCAGGCGCACTGATGGGAGTTGGAGATCTCGACAAGTTGGACATCTCGATAGAACACCGGCTTGCGTTCAGTGTTCTAAATCTAATTCATCCCAAAGGTGTTCAGTAGGGTTGTGGTCAGGGCCCTATGAAGGACACAGGAGTTCTTCCACACCAAACTGGTTACACCATGTCTTTAAGGAGCTGGCTTTGTACACAGGGGCACAGTCATGCTGGAACAGAAAAGGGTCTTCACCAAATTGTTGGAGGAGCACAATTGTCCAAAATGTCTTTATACTTTGAAGCACTAACAGTGCGCTTCACTGGAAGCACCTCCTAATGGGTGTCCACATACATGCACTCAACAACATTTGGCAACTGTCAATGTGTAAAACCCTTGTTACTCAATACAACTATAGTGATACTTTGTAAATGTACAATTCATCCTTATGTCATGCTACAGCAAATATTACTTTTAAAGTGATGCTAAACTCAGGAGTTAAATCCTAAAAATACATTCAAGTACCTTAACTATTAACAAAAATGTATCTTATTCGTGTATCACTCGGCTGTAGATCCTCCAATCATCTCCGAATTGGTGCTGACACTGTCCTTCCTTCTGGAGTGATGGACTACAATCTTAATACAAATTAGTAAACTAAATGTGTGATTGTAGTCCATTTAACTATTAAGTTTTTATTGTCACTTTAAGTTAGTCCATGTACTATTAAGTTACTCCATGTATCATTAAGTTATTCCAAGTACTATTATGTTACTCTATGTACTAGTAAGTTACTCCATGCACTTTTAAGTTACTCCAAGTAATATTAAGTTACTCCATGTATTATTAAGTTACTCCATGTACTATTAAGTTACTCCATGCACTATTAAGTTACTCCATGCACTTTTTAGTTACTCCATGCACTTTTAAGTTACTCCATGCACTATTGAGTTACTCCGAGTACTATTAAGTTACTCCATGCGCTATTAAGTTACTCCATGTACTAATAAGTTATTCCATGTACTATTAGGTTACTCCATGTACAGGTGAAACTCGAATAATTAGAATATCGTGCAAAGTTAATTTATTTCACTAATGCAACTTAAAAGGTGAAACTAATATATGAGAGAGACTCATTACATGCAAAGCAAGATAGTTCAAGCCGTGATTTGTCATAATTGTGATGATTATGGCTTACAGCTCATGAAAACCCCAAGAACCCCAAATCCACAACCTCAAAAAAGTAGATTATTACATGCAATCAATAAAACAAGGATTGCACATAGAACAATATCGGACCTCTGAAAAGTACAAGCATGCATATGTACTCAGTACTTGGTTTGGGCCCCTTTTGCGGAACTTACTGCAATTACTTTTGCATGATATTCTAATTATTCGAGTTTCACCTGTACTATTAGGTTACTCCATGTACTATTAGGTTACTCCATGCACTAATAAGTTACTCCATGTACTAATAAGTTACTCCATGTACTATTAGGTTACTTCATGTACTAGTAAGTTACTCCGTATGCTATTAAGTTACTCCGTGTGCTATTAAGTTACTGCGTGTGCTTTTAAGTTACTCCATGCACTATTAAGTTAATCCATGTACTAGTAAGTTACTCCATGCACTATTAAGTTAATACATGTACTAGTAAGTTACTCCATGCACTATTAAGTTAATCCATGTACTAGTAAGTTAATCCATGTACTATTAGGTTACTCCATGTACTAATAAGTTACTTCATGCACTTTACTCTTTCCATGTTGATTTGTTCAGTGAAATGGTTGCTTTCAGCAGTACCTCTGCTCTCCAGGGCACAGACAGGTTCCATGAAGCCTCTTCTGGTATCTGTGGGAATAAGGAGGAAACATTACAATCTTTTGTGTACTGCTCAGTAATCTGAATATTTTCCTCACCCTGCCAGAAATAAAAGTATTTTTAATTGTGGTTATTCAGGCAGTGCAAAAGACAAACATTTTACGTAATGTGCTGCAGAGACAAACAAACACTAATTCTTTTGTCTTGTTCAGCCTCACTGAATGACAAACAAGTATACAGGATGTATGCAATGTTCATTTTTTTTTTTTCGTTTTTAGCTCTTTTTTTTAGCTTTTTTTTTTCTGGTCTCCAGGTGAATGAGACCAAATCCAGAGTTGAATGTTTCTCTGGATTCTCAGACCCTCTCTACTGTCCTGACCAACTATCAGTTTGGGTGGACCTCCAGGCTTCCTTATCTGGGTGCCTTTCCCTGTACGTGGCCAATTACCCATCTTTATTTAAGGAGCTGTCCTACTTATTAGATTTGTGGAGACATTACAAAGGATTTTTACAAAATGTCCCTATTTTCCCTATGCTTGGGGCAGGGTGGTAGCCTTGAACAGCCGGATTGGGATGGGATTTGGGCTCCTGTGGCATGCAGATCTTATAATGTGACCACCCTAGAGAATTCCTATAAAGTGTTGATGCGTTGGTACTGATAGAAGTTTTACCCTAACGTCTCACCTTGCTGCTTTTGGGATTGTTGCTCCCATGGTACTATGTTTCATATTTGGTGGGAGTTATTTAAGGTTCAGAGGCTCTGGATTCATGTTTATCATATGCTCCGCTCTGTACTACATCGCAACCTTAAATGGAATCCTTGGGCAGCGTCACTCCATAGACAGGCTCTGGGCCCTTCTTTTTAGCCTTGAGGCAGACAATGGCAAGATCCTAGCGGCAGCCCACTTTGATCCTGGGGGAGGTCCAGCGACGTATTACGGGTACTATGATCAATGAGAAGCTCACGGCCATTCTAAATGATACCTATTTGAAACTACAAGTCCTATGAGGCATTGCAAGACTTTAGAAGTAACTGGCAGTTACTACCAGGGCCGGATTTCCCACAAGGCCAACCAAGGCCCGGCCTTGGGGCAGCAGGGAGCAGAGAGGCAGCAGGGGTGTGGAATTCCTATCTCCCGATGCGTAGGACAAGCAGTTCCGGTCGCTGGGCGGGTAGTTGCTTTCTAAATTTAGCCCTGCTTTGGGCAAGCAGGGCTAAATGTACAGTGGGGAAGCCGCTGCTAGTTTTATACAAGTGGTCTTGGCGATGAGATCACTTGTGTGCAGCCTGCAGGTCTGCCATTCTCTATGTGGGGTTGACGGGTAGGGGGCGCATTGAGGAACCTGGCCTTGGGACAGCAGAAAGAGTAAATCCGGCCCTGGCCGCAGGTGCCAAAGTTGCCGAGTACAATAACTAGACCAACTGATTTTTTCTCATTCAGCCCATATATTACTAGAATAACTGAAAAGGATGGACACTGTATGCGGCTGTAATAGGTCTTATCTCTGCAGTCCCTCAGCAAGGACACTATTCACCATTACAAAAGGCTGCTAGAGGGTCATCAAAATATGAAACATAAAGAATATGAGGTCACACACAAAATGAGTTTTAAATAAACATTATAGTAACAATATGAAATGTGTACTCAGTGATAATATTGCAGTTTGGGGTGGAGTGCGGCTAGTTGACTTGTTAGGGCGATGCCTGTGCTGCATACCAGAGCGCTCTACTATTGTGTCCTATATCTGCAGCTGTATGTGATTTATTGGGAAAATTCCTGCAGCCACAGTTCCAACAAGTTGTGCAAATAAAGAAAATGTGTTTCATTCACAAAGCTTACACAGCACAATAAGGATCCTTATTTATAAAAAAAAAAGGGTGTTACAAATGACTCCAATGAGAGTTAAAAAGTCACATGGCTGAAAATAAAGATCCATATCCTTGTGTTAAAGCAGCGGTAGGCAATCTTAGCCCTCCAGCTGTTGTAGAACTACAAGTCCCTGAGGCACTGCAATTTTTCAACGTGCATTGCTGTAATAAGTGTTAAAACGCACTATTTGATGCATGTTCATCCAAAAAAAGCCGCACTCAATATATCCTTTGTATGAGTCCAAACTTTATTTTAGTCAATAAAATGGCATACACCATGTAAAGCTCCCCATAGCGAGAGAAACCCTCTCGCGCGTTTTACCCACAGGGCTTAAAGGAGAACTATTGGTTCGGGGCTTTTCCCCATAGTTCTCCTAAGGGTCACGGGAGAACACAAACTAATGTGACATTGTGTGTGTGGTTGTGTGCATCTGTTAGTGTTTGAATCGCAAACTACCACGCGATCGCACCTACTGTTCATTCTGGTGGGAAAAGTGCGGGAGGTGCATCACGTTGCAATTCATTTGAATTGCACCCCAAAAACACCTCCCGCCCACAGTCTGATCACTTGCACCAGAACATGTGGTACTGCAATGGCGTGTGTTCCAGTGCGGTGCGACTTGGGTCGCGATTTAATGACCAAGGACAAATGTGGGTCCCAAGGTTACACAGATTGAGAACCACTGCTCTAGAGGAACCCTGGTTGAGAAAAGCTGCGCTATGATATTACATACGTAGTGTCCTTTGCATCTGGCAAGCAATGTGGAATATGAGCGGATTAGGAAATGGTGGGTGTAGGGAGAACCTTGGAGCTGAGAACATTGTGACATGACTGGATTATCTGAGAGGGGAGACACCCAGTCTTCCTGACACGAGCAGTACAAACATTGGTTTTAATAAAGGCAAGAAACATTATTTCTTTTTCTCACTGAAGGGAGGTGGGGACTGATAACACTGGAGCAGTCCACCCAAAACTGTTTTCCCGGTTTTGGAAGGACGTTGGGCAGTCGCAGGACCTGGCAGCTTCTTTTATCTCAGATCAACAGTTATGCCTGGCTCACACCTAGGTGACAGCGTTTTCTATTCAGTCTATGGGGCCAAAACAAGCTATAATATGCCAAAAAAAAGCTCCTGTACTTTTTCCAGCGACAGGCGTTTTGATTATTGCGACAAAGCGCTCAGATGTGAACAGGGCAGAAAAATTGCTACAAGTAGTCAGTTATGGTCTGCGGGGGAACTACAAACTTAATGTCTAAGAAAATGCATACTCACCGAGTTCTGCTGACGGTCGGGTTTGTAGAACTCCAGGTTCGGGTCCACGGCTGGGATATTATTGTGCGCGAGAGCTTTGCCCAGTTCACTCCAACTTTTGTATCCTGATCAGCAGAGACGAGAGAAGGATCACTGTCAATGTTTGTGTCACAATGTAACTCATATAACATGATATAAGCTTATAAAGGTTTGTAATGTGATGTCTGTAAAGTGCATGCGTGCCTTCATCTGCTTTTCTCTGTAGAAGGATGGCACCATCTTTATTCAGGCATCATCTAGGGTCACCATCTACTTCCTGGATTGAGATGCCATCTCAGAGATGACACAGTCATGTAAATCCTGGTGTCTGTGCGGTTGTTGGCTGTGTTCACAAATATCTGATATGGATCAGCCCCTGTTGCAGCCTGCCACCTTGTGGCTTGCTACAGAGTTAGAGTGTACAGTCTGATCGCTGTGGGAGCGGAGACTAAGCAAATGCTTCTCCCTGTCTGCAGCAGACTGATGCATCATCTCAGCCTAGGCAAAGTCACTGGACTGGATTACAAGGACAGTTTATAAAGTGGACCTTTACCCATATCTTTAAAATAACAACAAACACACCTTTAGAAATGTTTAGTAATGACAATCTACAAACACATAAAGCTAGATAATTGCCGGCTTTGTATTCTTTGCAATCCTTATTTCTCTTTTCTTCCCCAGTCTTCTCACAGTGGCCATGTTTACTAAGGGCAGATTACTAGATCTTCTTTTACTTCCTGATTTCTGGCACATGTGACTAGACATGTGACTAGGACATGTGACCATGCACATCATCTCAGGGGAGGAAAATGCCTTTCCCTGAGATCTCCTGAGATTACAGGTGAGATTTCCCCAGCAATGCTCTGCTGATGACAAGGCACTCCCAGTGTGCATTGCTTTGGCAATCTGAAGTCATTTTGCCCTTTCAAAGCAGGAAGTGAATGCTCTGCATGTGTAAGTATTTCACAATCGCAGCATTCTACACCTGACATGTCTGTTATTATTAATCATCATACATAGAGGGATGCATTGGTAGAATTTGATTTTTGAGTGTAAAGGTCTGCTTTAATGATAAAAAGTGGAGCTTTTAGTGGCTTTCTATTGTCTGTATTACCTCCAAAACCACACATATGACGGGATATTATTATTATTATTCATTTTAATTTTTTTTTAGAAAATAATAATTTTGTTTTGTATTATTAGTTTTTGAAGTTGAACTTTTTTTTCATATTTTTTTTTCAATATTACTATAGTTTTTATTGGCAATGTTTCAATATGTTTGTGCCCTTATGTAGTTCTGGTCCAGACCCATAGGATCCTCCTTTTTCTAGCTACCTAGATTAGGCTTTTGATTCATATATGCATTTCCTTGTGTTATTTCGCTTTTCAGCCCTGATTTAAGAGCCCCA